GAGCTCAAGATGAATCTGGCCAAGGGGGACACTGTARGAGACTGAAAGAAGTGCCAGGGTTACCATAGCTACCACCTTGGACAGCGTCTCTATTGTAGAGTCCAGCCTCTGGCCAGCACAACTCCATCTTTGTGGGGTCACCAGCCTGCTGACCTTGACCCACCCAGCTTGGCTATGGTGGCAGCTGCTAGCCTCTGCTAATCTCAGGGTTATCTTGCCATTTTTTGTTTGGCTTATCAGAAGCTGTACCTCTGAGGAACAGCACTAAATCCCAGTTGAAATCTCACAGAAGTATGTGTCTTCCCAGCTGGACCATAAGCMAGACTGCCTCCAAGAATCCAAAGGATTGAGACTTAGGATTTTCAGGATTTCTGTTAACAAAGACCAACCATTTGCCAGGTGCAGCTAACATGCATCTCTTTACTCATCTCCCAGATGACTCATCACTTAGATTCTGGGGCTCTATGCTATCACTGAGGAGGAAGTTAGGGCCCAAGCTCAGTCCCCATGGTCAAAAGCCAGGATGATAAGTGTGGCCACCATTCAAACCTCCCCTGCCTGTCTTCGCTCCTACCTCTTGAATTCTGACCAATTGGGGTCAACAGGCCAAGGCTCCCACTGCCCAGCTAGGGTGATCTTGCCTCCCAGGTGACACCTGACAATGTCTGGAGACATTTTTGGTTGTTATATTAGGGTGGGGGGTGGGGTCAGTGTGACTAGTGTCTAGTCCATGGARGCCGAGGTTGCAGAACAGGGCAGCTGTGGCAACCACACCACTTACCACAGGGAGTGTCTGCTGTGAACTAAGGACAGTGCCAAGGCTCAGAAACCCCCTCAAGACCAGCATTTAAAAAATGAGGTAGAAGCAGGCACAGTGGCAAATGCCTATAATCCCAGTGGCCGGGGAGGCTGAGGCAGGAGGATTGTCAGTTCAAAGCCAACCTCAGCAATGGCAAGACGCTAAAGCAACTCAGTGAGACCCTGTCTCTAAATAAAATACAAAATAGGGCTGGAGATGTGGCTCAGTGGTTGAGTGCCCCTGAGTTCAATTCCAAGAACCAAAAAAAAAAAAAAATGAGGTAGAAGGGAAAAGCTGCCCTGCACATAATGAGGTTAAGTGTAGTTTTCATGAAACTTTTATTTCAATTATTTGAGTATATATAATTAGAGTTTATATGAAAATTTTCTGGGCACTTGATCAAACATAGATTCTGGGTTGGGGGTATAGCTCAGTGGTTAGCATGTACTAGGCCCTGGGTTCAATCCCAGCACTGCCAAAACAAACACAGATTCCTGTATTCCACATCAAAATTCTGGTTGAGGATCTAAAGGATTCAAGAATCAAGATTTGGAAAAAAAAATCAAGATTTTTTAATAAATATCTAAGTTTTCTTTCTTTGTTTTTTGGTATTGTACTGGGAACTGATGCCAGGTGCACTTTACCACTGAGCTGCATCCCCAGCCCTTTTTGTTTCTTATTTTGAGACAGGGTTTTACTAAGTTGCTGAGGCTGGCCTTGTACTTGTGATCTTCCTGCTTCATCCTTTGGAATTGATGGGGTTACAGCCATGCGCCACCACAAACATCTGTGTAAGAGTTTTTATTTCCTTTTTTTTTTTTTTTTCTTCCCCTTGTCTAAGGCACTGTTTTTAAATGTTCTGGTCACTGGGCCTAAAGTCATTAGGTTCTAGAAAGCAATTTTTAAAATTGCATAGGAAATATCAATTTGCATTATTGTAATAAAAGTATTAGTTTTTATAAAATTTTTATTATACATATATATTCATTACAGGTTGATTTAAATATATATATWTTTTTACTTTGATTTTGGGTCCTATATTTTGGGATTTGTTTGTTTGTTTGTTTGTTTGTTGGTACTAGGGATTAAACACCTGGGGGCCCTTAACCACTGAGCCACAGCCCTAGCCCTTTATTTTTATGTTTTAAGATACGGTCTTGCTAAATTGCTTAGGCTGGCTTTGAATTTGCAATCCTCCTGCCTCAGCCTCCCTAGCCACTGGGATTACAGGCATGTGTCACTGTGCCTGGCCCTAATGTATATATTTTGTGATATTAAATTTTCATTCTACAAAGACTTTTCAGGTCAGATAGATAGAAATAGGACATTCAAGCATCTCAATGTTTATGGTTTGTCACTCTCTTATCCCCTCTCCCCTCCTCCCAAATTGAGGGTATAGAGCAACAACTCAAGTGCAATACTCACACTGCTTCTTTGACACTGCCCTCCTGCTGGTGGTCTCAAGAGGCTCAGTGTGGGCCCCAGAGCCACATAATATTAGGAATAGTCAGGTGTCTCTCAGATACCCTGAGTCCAAACTCTAACTGCTAAGTTCCTRAAAGCCAGGAGCCTCTCCTGGAAGCTGATAGCAGTTACTTTCAACCATGAGAGAAAACTACATCACTAWCCACCTACACCTGGGTCTGGGGCACTAGCTTATGAGGGAGGAGACCTTAAGTCCCATGACTTCTCTGGCTGCTTCTCTGGCTACTTCACCTGTGAAGTAGGAAAAGCAGCAAATGAAATACTCTAAGTGAAATTCTTCTATAAAGAGTACAACATCAAGGACAAGAAATTCTTGGTCTAAGCTCAGTAGGTCCTAGGCAGTGGAAGAGGGAGGAGGAAAGGCCCTGCAGGTAAAACATCACYTGGATGATCACTGTGCTTCCCCACCAAAGAGCCATTAGGGTTGGAGGTGTGCTCTGCCTAGTGCATGGGCCCTCTGTGATTAGCACACACTCTGGGTGCACTTATTCCTGGGAGATACTGAAGGTGGTGGACCCCAAAGACTAAGATCTGCTACTAAAATCAGGGTTCCTGCCGCCAGCATGATGGGGTCTTCTGAACCAGACACTTGCTTGTTATGGAGAACTGCCCTGTTTATTATAGAATGTTAAGCAGGACCCCTGGCMTCTACCTGCCAGATAGGTGCTATTATCATTCCCCCACAAGTTATAACAACCAACATTGCCAAATACCCCCTGAGGGCAAAAATGCCTAAGAGTCACTGATCCAAAGCAAATTAGAAATGCAGAGAGTACAAGAAGGGAAATTGAATTAATAATATCAGCTCCATATCCCTTGCTAAATTTGGGATCTTGAATATTACCTAGAGGCCCAAGAGGTAAAGGCATACTCCTGGGGCTGGGGCTCAGTGGTAAGGTGCTTGCCTAATGTATGAAGCCATCCTGAGGTTCCATCCTCAGTACCACATACAACAACAAAAGGCTTACTCCCAGGGCAGCCCTATTGGGAGGTGGTTGGAGCTTTAGGAGATGGGGGGTGCCATTCAAAGAGATAGGGGGACCCCACCCTTCTTCTCACTCTTCTTCCTGGACTTGAGTTGAGCAATTTGTTCTGTCATGTTCTCCCTGCCATTGCCACCCAGTACCCCYACCAGAGCCYCAAAACAATGGATCTTCCCGATCTTGACCTGGAGCCTACAAAAATGTGAGCCAAAATTAACTTTTTCTCTTTATAATTATCCCAGGCATTTTGTTATAATGACAGAAAGTTGACTAATCTATTCCTGATCACCCTAAATCAGAATCTTGGGTAATATATTCCCTGATGACCCTAGATCAGAATCTTTTTTACCTAGCCTGATGTGTTATCACATGTATCTTCCATTTCATTTTCTCTCCTGTCACCTGAGAACTTTCTTCCTTACTGCCTCCTCTTCAGCCCAMACTAAACCCAGGCAATGTTCTTCATCTTCTTCAGCTTGCAGCCATTCCAGGGCCAACAGGTTATTCTTCCCAAACCTTAACTTATGTCATGCATCTCCCAGTAAAAATCATCTCTGTTGGCACAGCTTAGCTCATCATGAGTTTGGCAGTACACAGGTTTCTCTGTAGCACCTATTTCACACACTGTTCCCTTCCACAAATCTCATTTATGGCTTTTGGAAAAAGAATAAGATAAACCTGATGGTATCATACCATAGAGTCTTAATCAAGCACTGGAAATGATATTGGCCCTGGTAAAAAATTTGTAAAAATATCCCTTTCTTTGGAATTGAAGTTTATACTTGATTAGCTGATTGTGGAAATTCAGTATCCTCTGAATGCAAGAAGTAGAGGGTTTAAAGCAGGGTTTCAAGCTGGGCATGGTGGTGGCCCGCCTGTAATCCCAGTGGCTTGTGAGGCTCAGGCAGGAGTATTGCAAGTTCAAAATCAGCCTCAGCAATATAGCAAGGCCCTAAGCAACTTAGGGAGACCCTGCTTTGAAACATAAAAAATAAAGGCTGGGGATGTGGTTAGGTGGTTAAGCAGCCCTGGATTCAATCCCTGGTACCAAATAAATAAATAAATAGCAAGAAACAAGTAGGCTTTCGAGCTGTCAGACCCACTAGATCCCTCATCAATGGGTTAGCAACAGTCTTTTGGAATGGAGCAGAATGGAATGAATTAGAATAGAGCTAGAATAGATCTGCGTCATGTGAGCTGGGGTAAGCGGCTTCCTTTAAACTTGTGCTTGAGTAATCTATATCTACAGGCACAGGGAATACACAAAACATGTTTCTAAGTGTAGGTTGAGTCAAAAAGTTTGAAAGCCATAATGGGCAATCTATAGAGTCAGAACCCGATAGAGGTGGGTAAGAATCAGCAAAAAGTGCAAGGTCACTGGGACCCTTGGACGCAAAGAAGGGACCGGGCAGGGGTGGGTGCGGGATGGGAAGCCATTGGGCGGACACCGCTGGGGAAAGCGATAAATGCGGGGATTCCCGATTTGGGGGCGCCAGGCTTAGTCCAGGGGTCGGATGGGCTGGGGAAAGGAGAACCAGGAGAAAGGAGGCGAATCGCGGGTGTCGGACAAGGAGGCGGCCGGAGCCCGGGACGCAGAGCCGGCACCCTCCTCCCCAGCACAACAGCCCCAGGACCCAGGAGAGCCCGGCCGGGGCGCATCTAACCGTGGGGCGCATCCAACCGTGGGGCGGGACCCTCCGGGACCCTCCCTGCCCGCTGGGGCCCGTCCTCACCGACGGCAGCGGGCCCTCCCTCTCCGGCGACGGAGCCGCGGCGGGTCCCTTGGTCTCGGCCGCGGCAGCCGCAGGCGTCGACCTGGCGGCCCAGTCCCCTCCGGCCAACACGACCCCAGCGCCCGCTCCCCGCCCAACCTGCCCCTTCGGGAGCGAGCCCCGTGCCCGCGCGCGCGACCCCGCGGGGAAGCCGGCCTCTCCGAATGCCCAAACGGGCTCCTAACGATCATGCGCAGTAAAGCCAMGGAGTCGTTTCGAGGGCAAATTCCACTTCTCCGGGTCTTCCTGCGCGCCGCTGAGCTGATGGCCTGGCCAATAGGTGTTCAGGGGCGTGGCTCTTTGTCACGAAAGAGGCGTGACCATCCTGGGATTGGGAGATCGCACCAAGGGGCAGGGCTCCCTCCACGCAAAGGGGCGGGGCAAATGGGTTTGATTGAAAGCTCTGGATCTTCCCAGAATTTGACTTTGAGCTGAAAAAAGTGGGGCGTTTTTTAAAATACATACCTAGGCTTGCCGCTTTCCTGAGCCAGTGGAAAGAAATTTCTTATGCACCTCATTTAAGCCTAAAAGGTCCCCACCCCAAATCCAGGACAATTTGATCTTCAAAATAAATAATCAGCCAAATTCAGTGACGCAAACCTGTAATCCCAGCAACTCTGAAGGCTGAGGCAGGAGGAGATCCCAAAATAAAAAATAAATAAATAACGTTAGTAACAGATTATAACCTTAAATAAAATAATCCACGGGTTGCTTTTCTAGGTGAATAAATGGGAGAGAATATTTTTTTTTCTTATGGCAGAAAAACAATTTTAAAATGCAGGAAGAATAATGTAGGGCCGGCCTCATTGGCGCACACCTGTAATTCCAGCAACTCAGGAGGCAGAGATAGGAGGATAAAAAGTTCAGGACCAGCCTCAGCAATTTAGTGAGACCCTATCTAAAATACAAAATAAAAAGGGCTGGAGATATGTCTAGAGACAGTGGGTTCAATCCTGGTGCTCCACCCCACCAAAAAAAAAAGTAATGCAGAAAATTACTATTTGACATTCATTATGCTAATAACTAATTCAGGCAAAAATCATCAATGGCCACCAAGAATGGAGAATGAAAGTTTAATAAGAACAGGTATGTACATAATGCAAAGTATCTAACAAAATGTACTCATCAATGACAATGGGGAAATACTAATTTTACAGTAGAGGAAGGGTTCTCAAAACTAGTCTGGGTATTCCCAGATCATCTGTTCAGAACCTTGGTCCATATTCTAATTGGGTTGTTATTCTGTCTGGGAGAATTCTTTATATACTCTAGATATATGACCCTGGTCAAATGTATTATTTGCAACCCTCACCTCCATGTCTTGGGTTATCTCTTCACTTTATCSATCCAGTTGAGATGGTGTCTTTCAAATCACAAAAGTTTTTTGTTTGWTTGTTTCTAGGTTTTGTATTAGGAATGGAATCCAAGGTCTGCTTAACCACTAAGCCACATCCCCACCCCTTTTTATTTTGAGACAGGGTCTCACTAAGTTGCTTAGGGCCTCACTAAATTGCTGAGGCTGGCTTTCAATTTTCCATCCTCCTGCCTCAGCCTCCCAAGCCACTAGGATTACAAGCATGGACCACCATGCCCAGCTGAATCATAAAAGTTTTAAGCTGGATGATGTCCAGTTTATGTTTTTTTCTATTGTTACATGTGCTTTTGATGTCATTACTAAGAGTTCATTGCCTAAGACATCCCTGCCTACTCCAAGTTCACAAAGATTTACCCATGTGTTTTCTTCTATGAGTTTTATAATTTAGCTTTTACTAACTTGGATCTTTGACCTATTTTGAGGGTTTTGTTTTGTTTTGTTTTGTATATCATATGAAGGAGGTCTTCATTCTTTTTTTATTTTCCTGACTTATATTTTGAACTGATTTTACACCTACCCAGAACATTCCCATAGATATTCCAGTAGTCCCAGTACTATTTGTTGAAAATCCTCCCCCCATGTAAGTGTCCCAGCATTGCCTCACAGGTGTTAGGTACATAATCTCAGAAATTTAGTAAGCTGAGGCGGGAGGATTGCAAGTTGGAGGCCAGCCTCAATCACTTAGGGAGACCCTGA